CAGTAAACATGTATAGGATTCTGAGCTAAAGAGAGTATTGATGTTTATTTTAAAAGAAGAGAAAATTGGGAGATAAAACATGCAAAATGAAGAAAAAACTGTGTATTCTTTAAAGGATAAATCCTGGAAAGATAAAATAAGTTTCTGAAAGTAAGAAAAACCAAAATTCAATAGAATAAAATCTAAATAAAGCATAACAGAATAGAGAATTAATATGGAAGATACTAACTATAACACAAAGATAAAAACTATGAGAAGACAGGCAAAAGACATTGAGTGACGATTTTATATATATATATACACATATATATATATGTGTGTGTGTATATATATATATATTATATATATATATAATATATATATATTATACATATATATATATATATATATATATATATATAAAATAATAGGAGGCAAAATGATAAACTGGTAAAGAAGCAATATTCCAAAAGATAATGATAGAATTTCCCAGAATTGACCCCAAAATATCAGATTAAAGTGCTGTGCAGGGCCAAAATAAATCTATATGGTAGAATCTGCAGGATATTAATAATAAAGACAATAGCTTATATGAATTAAGAATGATTAACTCAAAGGGATGGCAGGAGTTTGACAAATTGTGGACTTGATAACAATGATAGGTACCAGATAATGGAGTAGTATCTTGAAAGTGCTAAGAAAAGATAAGTGGTAACCCAGAATTTTTCACTGAATAAACCATCTCTCTCCAGAAGGGAAGATAGATATTTTCAGGCAGATGAAAACAGAGCATTCACCCCTCACAGGCTTTTGCTGATAGAGCTAAAGGTTTATAACTACTGAGAAATCATGATCCAAGCCAAGAGTGATAACCTGGCTTGGTTAATAATCCCAGCTACCTAGGTGGCTGAGACAGAGGATCAGAAATTTAAGGCCAGCCTTGGCATCTTAGTGAGATCCTGTCTTAGAAGAAAAAGAACTGGGAATGTAGCTCTGTAGTAGAGTGCTTGCTTGCCTAGCAGGTGCCAGGCCCTGGGTCTAACAGAGCTACCAGAGGCGGGGGCGGGGGGCGGAGGGAAGACAACCTACAGAATAGGAAAAAAATAATTGCAAATCTTTATCTGATAAAGAATTGGTATACAGAATATATAAAGAACCCTACAACTCAGTAGCAACAAAACAAAAAATCTAATTGAAAAATGACCAGAGATAGGGGTCTAGCTCAGTGGTAGTGTTGCCTACCATGCACAAGGCACTGGGTTGGATCCCCAGCACCAAGAGCCTAAGTTGCTGGGGATGAAGGAGCCAAAGGACTTGAATAGACATTTCTCCAAAGATTTTATATATGTCTAATAAATATACAAAAAGATGCTCAATCAACATCATTAGGTATTGGGGAAATACAAATCAAAACAATGAGATACTATCATACCTGCTAGGTTGGCTATCAGAAAAGAAAAGGAAAAGAACACATGTTGGTGAGGACTCAGAGAAGTGGGAGCCCTCGTGCATGGCTGCTAGGAGTAAAATAATACCGCCACTCTGGAAAACAGCTTGGTGGTGTCTCAAAAGGTTAAACATAGAATTACCATATGACCCAGCAATTGCACCCTAGGTATATATCCAAAAGAGTTGAAAGCAAAATGAGAACAGATGCTTGTACACCAATGATAGCAGCTTTATTCACAATAACCAAAGGGGGAAGTAAGGTACAATATTGTATATGCATACAATGAAACATTATTCTTTTTAAAAAATATTTTTAGATATAGATGGACACAATACTTTTATTATTTGTTTATTTTTACGTGGTGCTGAGGATTGAACCCAGGGCCTCACACATGCTAGATGAGTGCTCTATCACTGAGCTACAGCCCCAGCCCCAGCCCACATTATTAATTCTTAAAAAGAGATTTTGATATATGCCACAACATGTGTGGACCCTAAAAAACATTATCCATGGTGAAACACGCCAGACATAGAAGGACAAATATTGTAAGATTCCACTTATATGAGGTATCTAGAATAGGTAGATTACAGAGACAGAAAGTGAAATAGAGGTTACCAAAGTCTAGTGGGAGGCCAAAAAAAGACATTATTTACTATCTAATGGATATATGGTTTTTGTTGGAGATGACAAAATGTTTTGGATATAGATAGTGGTGATGGTTGTGCAGCTTTGTGAATTTTTATTTTTTTTTAGTTTTTATTTTTTTTTGATATTCGGGATTGAACCCAGGGGTGCTTAGCCACTGAGCAACGTCCCAGCCCTTTTTTGTTTTTTATTTGGCAACAGGGTCTCACTGAGTTGCTTAGAGCCTCACTAAATTGCTGAGACTGGCTTTGAACTCGAAGTCCTCCTGCCGCAGCCTCCTGAGCTGCTGGGATTATACGTGTGCACCGCCACACCTGGTTATTGTGAATATTTTTAATGCCACTGAATTGCACACTGACAAATGGCTAATATGATGAAAATTATATATATTTCACTACCTTAAAAAGTTTTCCATTTTAAAAATGTAGAAGTAAAATTCTAAAAGATAATAGAAAATGTGAAAATTGTGTGTAAATTATTTAAAGTGTGCTTTGAAGCCATGGCACAGGCGTATAATACCAGCAGCTCAGAAAGCTAAGACAAGAGGATTGCAAGTTCAAAGCCAGCCTCAGCAACTTCAAGGATGCTTTGATCCTTGTCTTGTTTTAGAGTGATAATGAGTAACTGTCGACATTTGAGAAAAATGTACACATAAATATTTATATGCTAAATATAATAAATAAATGTAAGTATGCTAAATTTTAAAGAATATTTAAAAGATTTCAGATTCTGTCTATACCTTTACTAACAAAGAAGTAGAAAGAATTTTTTTTTGAAAAAAAAAAAACACAAAACTGTACCAACAAAATAGAAAGCAAGAAAAGAGGGAAAAAGGCAAAGAAAGACAGTTCACGGAAAGGACCAAATAATTGTCAGATGTTAATTAAATACACTTAAAATACATATTTTACTATATAGAGACTGCACATTTGGATAGAGAAACAAAATTAAACTATATACTATTTATAAGAGACACACCTAAAACAAAATGATCTGGAAAATTTAAAATTAAAGACATAAAAGGTACATAATAATAAAAGATACACCAGGAAAATACTAATCAAAAGAAGGCCAAGTGCAAAATTACAGTACCAGAAGAAAGGCCTAGACTTTTAAAAACATTATAAAATATGGACTTTTAGTATTTCATTATAGAGAGCTGCAGATATTCATTCTATCTGGTATTACTAATTTTTTCTTATCTTTCAAAATTAACTACCACAAATATTTATGGAGTATCTTTGTGTTAGGTAACAGTAGAGACAAAGATGAGTACAACCCTATTGTTTACTATATGAACTTGCAGTCTAAAAGGACTTTAAAACAAAACAAAACAACGAAATAGTGTTTTTTTGAGAATTGTAAGTGAGATAAGAGGGGAATTGGAAGTAGGGGATAGGATGGGGAAAAGGCTTTATGCAAAATGTGGCATTAAAAGCTATTAAAAGGATATAGTTTCACTATTATTAGTTGTTTGCTGCTTAGACCACAGCCTAAACACCAGCTTTTCCCCTTAAGGTATGAAACACACTTTGGGCCTAATTCTTTGTGGGATTGCTTCATAAATGTAGGTTACAATGTTATCATTTTAGGCTTCTTTTGCTGGAAATGTAGCCTGACCCATTTACCTGGAACAGCTCATTTGCTGTATTTTCATTTTCCTGTGTAGGCCATAAACAGCATGGGTAATTTAACACTTTAACAGACTTTTAAAAACCTCTCTTCTAACATAATCCTTTGACAGATATTGTTCTTATACTTTCTTATAGTGTCTTAAGTTTTCTAAGAGAAAAGATGAGTGTGCAATTTGCTTTTTTATTATAGTACTGTTAATATTAGTAGGAAGAGGCTGATTTTATCCTAAATGGTAGCATAGTCTCTGTTAAAGACAGTAAAAACTTTCCCGTAAATTTGGTCTAGGAGAAGGGCAGTGAGATTCTTTTCCTGTTCAGTTTGGAGATTCAGATCCCCACCCGCTTTAGATGGTCATCAGATGCAAACTGGAGCTTAGAATTACCACTGTTCCCTCCATTGCTTGCCATCTTCAGTTTAGTGTCTGCTTCTCCACAAAGATTAACATGTTTTCCACCCGTGATTTACTTGTCAGAGAATTTAGGAGTTTTCTGGAACCTGCAGTTGGCCCTTGGTAGGGATGATTACTGGATAATTGCCTTTTCTTCTGTGGAATTTCCATTTTTAGATTACGCCAAGCTCTACAGCCTTTATTTCTTTGGCAGGGAACCCAAAGGCAATGGAGTGTGTTTTTTCCCTTCCCTGGCCCAGTTTAAACACTGACTCACTTGGGCCCTGGGGCTTTGCTCCATTCTCTAGTTAGGGGCCACTTTCTACCCTTGTTCTTCCTATTTGCCTTTAGTGTACTGTTTGGAACTTTTCCTGTCCTTTTCCACATATGATTTGTCTCTGGGGTTACTGTCAGGGAGGTATATAGCAGCACCCCTAAACTAGAACAGACACTACCCCCCCCCTATAAGCCATGTTATCCTTAGGGCAGCTGCTATAGACCAAGGGCAGTACAGAAAGAATACTTTAGGGAAGCATAATTCCGAATGGGATAGAAGAAGTATTCTCCAAAAAAAGAGTGCCTGTATCATCCAGGTAAAGATCGAAAGAGTTCCCTTTATAAGAGGGAACTCTCCATTGACTGATTAAAATATCCTCAATGTGTACATGTTGTAGGCAGGAAGTACTCAGAGGAACTGGACTCAAGAATTTTCAGAGGGATATGGTTATCTGAAGAGACTTCCCTTTAGAAGGATTTTGTCTAATCTGTATTTCCAAGTTTTGTTGGGGGAAAAGATAGATTTCTCCCATGTCTTTGGCAGTGGTTCTCTCTGGTATTAAATTTTCATTCTGAATGCAGCTTTCTGAATTCCATCTGATGATGATTTAATTTTTGTCTTTGCAGTTTTACCAGTGTATGCCAGGGAACTCATATTCTCTTTCGAGAATTCAGCTTCATCCAAGCCACCCCCCATAATAGGGCATCATTTTTACGGGCCTTCTGGAGATGCTTTCGAACTGTGGGCAAAAATGGTGGTAAGTCTTTCCCAATTCTATTTGTTTTTGTCTATTTCTCTCCTTCCTTTCTTTTCTTCCTTCTTCTCATCCTTCCTTCCTTCCCTCTGTTCTTCCTTCCAAACTCTTTCTTAAGTTCCTGTAAATACTGTTCAAGGCTTTTGGAATACCTTGCTTTTGAGGAGATGGCAGTATTGTGTCAGAAATGTTCCTGCCACCACTACCATCACTAGCGATACCTTATTAAGAATCAAGTATGGTTTTGAATGCTTTAATCATCACAAGATTTAATCCTCACAACAGCTCTTCATGGCAGATGCTATAATCCTCATTTTATAACTAGTAAAACTGAGGATCAAAGGGGTTAAGTAACTTGGAAGGTTACTAGTAAATGCTGGGCTCAGATTAATACCACAGCAGTCTGGCTTCAGAGCCCTTGCTCTTGGCAAATGTTAAAATACTGTACAGGAAATACAAGGAATAATGTGAATACAGACATACCTCATTTTATTGCATTTTGCTTTATTGTACTGTGCACATTTGTGCTTTTTATACTAACTCAAAGTTTGTGGTAATCCTACATTAAGCAAGTGTGTTGCATCATTTTTCCAAAGGCCTGGTTCATGTTGTGCATCTATGTCATATTTTGGTAATTCTTGCAATAGTTAAGCTTTCTTTGTTACTATATCTGTTATGATGATCTGTGATCAGTGATCGTTGATGTTACTATTGTAATTATTTTGTAATTATATCCACAAACCATACCCATGTGTCAGTAAACTTAATGGATATGTTGTGAGCATTCTGACTGCTCCACCAACTGACCAGTTCCCCATCTTTCTCTCTGTCCTTGGTCTTCCTCATCACTGAGACACAACATTAAAATTAGGCAATGTAATAACCCTACAATGAGTGTTTAAATGAAAGGATAAATTGCACGTCTCTCACTTGAAATAAAAAACTAGAAATGATTAAGCTTAGTGAAGAAGGCATGTCAAAACCTAAAATAGGCCAGAAGTTAGTCCTCTTGTTCCAGAGTTATCCAGTTGTGAATGCAGAGTTGAAAAGCAGTTGAAGAAAATTAAAAGTGCTACTCCAGTGAACACACAAATGATAAGAAAGTAGAACAGCCTTATTGCTGCTATGGAGAGAGTTTTAGTAGTCTAGATAAAAGATCAGATGATCAGACACAACATTCCCTTAAGACAAAGCCTAACGTGGAGCAAGGCCCCAACTCTCTTCAGTTCTACTAAGGCTAAGAGAAGCTGCAGAAGAAAAGTTTGAAGCTAGCAGAGGTTGATTCACGTACAAGTGCAAGGTGAAGCAGTGAGTGCTGGTGTAGAAGCTACAGCATGTTATCCAGAAGACCTAGCTTAGATAACTGATGAAGGTGGCCACCCTAAACAATAAATTTTCATTGTAGACAAAGCAACTTTTATTGGGAAAAGATGTAGTCTAGGACTTTCCTAGCTAGAGAGAAGTCAGTGGCTGCCTTCAGAGAATAGGCTGCCTCTCATGTTAAGGGTTAATGCAACTGGTGACTTTAAGTTGAAGCCAGTGGTCATTTATCATTCTGAAAATCCTAGGACCCTTAAGAATTATTCTAACTCCACTGTGTCTGTGCTCTGTAAATGGAATAACAAAACCTGGATAACAGCACATCCATTTATAACAAGGTGCACTGAATATTTTAAGCTCACTGTTGAGACTTGCTTACCAAAAAAAAAAAAAAAAGAATTCTTTTCAAAATATTACTACTCATTGACAGTGCACCTCATCACCCAATAGCTCTGATGGAGCTATTTAATGAGATTAGTGTTGTGTTGCTTTCATGCCTGCTAAACAGCATCCAATCTGCAGCCCATGGATCTAGTAGTAATTTTTATTTTCATGTCTTATTATTTAAGAAATACATTCTATAAGGCTATTATCTGCCAGAAGTAGTGATTCCTCTGATGAATATGGGCAAAGTAAACCCTTCTGGAAAGGATTCACTATTCTAGATGTCATTAAAAACATTTGTGATTTAAGGGAGAAGGTCAAAATAACAACATGGACAGGAATTTGGAAGAAGATGATTCCAGCCTACCCTCATGGATGACTTGGAGGGTTTCAAGATTTCAGTGGAGGAAGTAACTGCACATGTGCACTATCTCTAGTTCAAGAGAACTAGAAATGGAACCCGAAGACATGACTAAATTGATGCCGCCTCATGATAAAACTTTGATAAATGAGGAGTTGCTTTTTATGGATGAACAAAGAAAGTTTATTGACATGGAATCTATTCTGGTAAAGATGCTGTGAACATCATCATTGTTGAAATGACAACAAAGGATTTAGAATGTTATGTAAACTTAGTTGATAAAGCAATGGCAGGCTTAAGAGGATTGACTCCAATTTTGAAAGAAGTTGTGCTGTGGGTAAAATGCTATGAAATATCAGCACATACTGTAGAGAAATCTTTCATGAAAGGAGGGTCAATTAATGTAGCAGACTTCATTGTTGTCTTAAGAAATTGCCACAGCCACCCCAACCTTCAGCACCCCCTCCATGACCAGCAGCAGCCATCAACAAGGCTGACCCTTCACCAGCAAAAACATTATGAGTTACTGAAGGCTCAAATGAACATTAACAATTTTCGGTGATAGTTCTTTTGAAATAAGGTATATACATTGTTTTTTAGACATATTTTTGAAATAAGGTATATACATTGTTTTTTAGACATATTTTTGTACATTAATAGACAAAAGTATAGTGTACATACTACTATTTTTTTCAATACTGCATATTGAACCCAGGGTCATTGAACTACATCCCCAGTCTCCCAAAACTACATCCTCAGTCTCCCCCACCCCTTTTTATTTTATTTTGAGACAGGGTTTCTCCAAGCCTAGGCTGGCCTTGAACTTGGGATCCTCCTGCCTCAGCCTCCTCCCAAGTAGCTGGGATTATAGGCATGTGCACCATGCCCATCTTAAACATAATTTTATATGCAGTAGGAAACCAAAAAAAATTGTGTGTTTCACTTCATTGGAAGAAACAATACTAAGGTGGTCTGTAACTGAATGTGCACTATCTCTGAGAGATGCCTGTACAAAGAAGAAATCTCCTGAATGGTAGGAGTAGAAGTAGAATGAGGATGCCCTTGCAATAGTAGGAAGAGAATAGTGGATTAGAGTGGATTCTGAGAACTGGCTGTTGGATCTAAGTTGGAAAGGAAAAGTAGGAACTATCCATATCAGTAAAGGAGAAAGGGGCATTCTAAGTAGGGTGTGTGCTGAAGCACAAAAGAACATGGAGTGTTCGAGGAACCGAGGAGATCAGAATAACTAGCACTTGTGAAGGAGGTTAGGAAAGATGAGCCTGTAAAGAATGAATCTTATTCTGAAGACTTGTTTTGTTTGTTTGTTTTTGGTTTTTGCTTTGCTATTAAAAAGAAGTTGGATTTTGTTCTATGAACATTACTATTATAAATATTATTTTAAGGTTCTTACGTGGGAGAGTGGTGTGATGATATCTGTATTATAAAAGACCATTCTAAAGGCAATGTGGAGGATGGCTTAGGAAAATAGTAGTGGAGGTGAGAGGTAAGAATCAAACTTAGGCAGTATCCTTGGAAATGGAAAGGGAACTTTTGGAAAGAGACTCTAAGAATTTGGTGGTTGGATTTGGAATGTAAGGTGAGTTAGATGACCAATGAAATTTATATTGGAGGGGAAATAGATTTACTGGGGAAAATATGTTGTTTATTTTTTTAATTGTGATAAAATATAAACATAAATTTTATGTGTGCAGTTTTATGACATTACATACATTCCTGTCATTCCACAACCATCATCACCATTCATCTCCAGAACTTTTTCATCTTGCAAAACGAAAACTCTGTACTCATAGACAAGAGCTCCCCTTTCCCTCCTACCTCTAGCTCCTGACAACCACTGTTCCACTTTCTGTCTCCATGAATTTGACTACTCTAGCTGTCTCATATAAGTGGAATCATATAATATTTGTTTTTTGTGAATTTCTTATTTCACTTAGCATAAATATATTCATAGTTCATCCCTGTTATAGCATGTGTCAAAATTTTCTTCCTTTTTAAGGCTGAATAATATTCCGTTTTATGTGTATATCACATTTTATCCATTCTTCTGTGAATGAACACTAGTGTTGTGTCTCCCTTTTGACTATTGTGAATAATGTGATATGTTGTTTGGGAAAAGTTGATATTTCTTTGGGATTCAACTAAAAAAATTTCACTAAGGAGCAGGACGTATAGGTCAGGTTCTAGAAATAAAGGATTGGGGAAGTAGAGTGAAGCTTACTAGTCTTTCAAAGCATCCTGAGAAAAGAGTAACGTGAACTAGAAAATGCAAGTCATTTTTATACTTGAAAACTGTTGGTTTGGCATCTCATGATTATATTTCAAGGCAAATATTAAGAAAGACACTGATTGAAAACATCCATATTGGGCTGGGGTTGTAGCTCAGTGGTAGAGCATGGCAATGAGTTCAGTCCTCAGCACCACATAAAAATAAGTAAATAAAGGTATTGTGTTATCTACAACTAAAAACATATTTTGAAAATATCCATATGAAGATGTATGTTGGTGAGATGAAGGGTGAAAATACTCCCATTGGGAGCTTTAAAAAAGTGTCAGTAGATTCTTACATTCAGAAAATTAAAGTAGTTTAAATTGCTCCAATTTTTTTAGATTTAGAATCTCTACATAAAATCTTCTTTAACATCTGTTCTCAAGGGTCTGTTCTTATTCTTATTTTCATATTATGTGGTTTTCCAAGTAAGTATTTAATATGTCAAAGACAGTTTCTATAATGATCCTGAAAGAAAGGGAAGACATAAAGCATTTCTTCATCCATTCAAAACAAATATTTCTGGAAGAGTTATCATGTGCCTGCCACTGAGGTTGGAATAGTGGACAGGTACAGTGCTCTGCCTGCCTTTGCTGCACTTACAAGATCCCCTACTCTTCTCTAATTGGTGCTCCTTTACTTTATATATAG